ACCAGAGATACCTTTGCTCTCTTCAAATTCATGAGTCTGAGGCTCACAGTTGCCTTTCTCCTCCTCCTCTTCCTTCTTCTTCCTCTTCTTCTTCTCTTTCTTCTTCTCCTCCTTCCTCCTCTTCCTCCTCCTCCTCCCTCTTCTTCTTCTTCTTCTTCTTCTTCTTCTCCTCTCCTTCCTCCTCCTTCTCCTCCTTCTTTTTTTTAAGTAGGCTCCAACGTGGGGCCCGAACTCATGACCCTGAGATCAAGACCTGAGCTGAGATCAAGAGTCATATGCTCAACCAGCTGAGCCACCCAGGTGCCCTGCCTTTCTATTCTCTATCTCCTGAGATTCTTTTTGCCTGTCAGAAACCTGTAGTGTGGGCGCCTTGGTGGCTCAGTTGGTTAAGCGACTGCCTTTGGCTCAGGTCATGATCCTGGAGTCTCGGGATCAGGTCCTGCATTGGGTTCCCTGCTCAGCAAGGAGTCTGCTTCTCCCTTTGACCCTCCTCCCTCTCAGGCTCTCTCTTTATCATTCTCTCTCTCTCAATAAATAAATAAAAATCTTAAAAAAAAAAAGGAAATCTGTAGTGTATTTTTTTTGTTGTTAAAAGAGAGGTTAAGGAAGATTAATGGGTAATAATATAAGGTGTTAAGGAATATTACTGAGGTTTCTTCTTGTATTAGTCCACTAGGGCAGCCATAACAGAAATGCCACAGATGGGGTCTTAAACAACAGAAATTTATTTCTCACAATTTTGGAGCCTGGAAATCCAAGATCAAGGTGTTGGCAGATTTGATTTCTCCTGAGGCCTCTCTCTTTGGCTTGCAGATGTCTGCTTTCTCACTGTGTCCTCACATGAACTTTTCTTTGTGTGCACACATCCCAGGTGTCTCTTTTGTGTATCCAAATGTCCTCTTCTTATAAGGACAGTGGTCAGACTGGATTAAGTTCTACCCTAGTGGCCTCATTTTAACTTAATCACCCCATTAAAGGCCCCATCTCCACTCCCAAGCCACACTCCGAGGTAATGGAGGTTAGGGCCTCAATATATGAATGTGGGGGTTGGGGGGGAAAACACAATTCAATCCATAACACTCCTTGAGATCAAGATTGAACTTGTTTTGAAACCCAGAGATTTAAGTAGAAAGTGCCTGGTTGTTTCAAGCTTTTATGTTGAATACAGATGTGAACTTATCTAGTCTCAGAGACCTATGATGTTGTTCCCTAAGAAGGGTTAGGTTAGCTATCTATATTACTTCTCTACTTGTGTGGGGGCTTAATAGTGGTAGAAAGATCCAGATAGACCACTCAGAAAATGGAATAGGAATAAGACCAAAAAATGAACACTAAAGAAACAAGTATTAGCTATTTCAGCCTGTAGGGCCTCAAATGGAATTTATGCCTCCTTGAGTGTGATCATCATTTATATAAAAACTATCAATTTCTAAGAACCTCCATGAGCTTTTTTTTTTTTTTGTCCATCAGAGAAAGCCCCAAATCCCATGGCCTTACCTCAGCGTCCCACCTTACCCAGGTGCTCGGCTCTGTTGCTGCTGGCTGCCTCTCTATCCCACCTCAGGCCCACTCTGACTAGACTCTGTGCCTGGAGCATTCTCAGCCCTAGCTACCAAGATGAGGGGACTAGTAGCTTCAAGCTCCATCCCACTCCTTTCACAGGTGCTTCCTCACCTCTTCTGCCCTGGATACTCACTCTGTCTCACTTCATCTCCCAGAGACCAGATACTTGTTTGTGCTGTGCTCAGTCTCAACAGCCAAGCTTGTGCCTTATTGCCCCACTCTATCCAATTGTAAAGACTAACGATGAAAGATGTACCTCCCTTATTAAAAGGCAGGAGTACATATTACAGAGTAGATGTCTGCTTTAATAAATAATTGCTTTAAAGTGATTCTAGAAATATAAAAATAGCCCCAATTAATGAATTTGTATTTTATTCTCCTATAGAGCTTAGTTCAGTAGTTTTCTACAAGTCAGAGCCAAGTGAAGCTCTTTAAAAGCTTTTAGGTTGAAACAGTTTTAAGTTCAGAGGAAGCTGAGGTCCTGTGTACCCTTTATCCACAATTTCCTACTTCCTACCCATCTTCTAAATGATAGTACAGTATTCAAACCAGGAAACTGATAGATACAATCCACAGATCTTACTCAGATTTCACCAGTTTCATATGCAATCTTTTGTGTGGGTGATGCTACACTGTTATCACATGCAGATTTGTGAAGACACCACCACAACTGAGATACAGAATTGTTCCATCACCACAAATATCCCTCATGCTACCTCTTTAGAGCCACACCCATCTGCCTCCTCCAACCCCATCTCTAACCCCTGGCAACCACAAATCTCTTCTCCATATGTATAATGTTGTCCTTTTGAGAATGCTATATTAGTGGAATCATTAATGGAATTGCCTTTTTCACGCAACATAATTTCCTTGAGCTCCATCCAAATTGTTGCACATATCAGTAGTTTGTTTCTTTTTATTGCTCTAGAGTGTTTTCTTACACCAACCAAGTCTTCAACACCAACTGGGTGCCCAATAATGTAATTCAGTTGTGACATTAACTAGTTAGCGTCAGATGCCAGAGGTTTAAGGGTCCGGTCCCACTTGACTGCCTCCCAGTCCAGACACCAGTTACAAGTCCCAAGTCACCCATGCTTCTGACCAACCAGCTACAAATTGGGAATCCCCACAACCTCCTTCTTAGGTTTGATGATTTGCTGGTATGACCTGCAGAGCTCAGGAAAACATTTTGTTTACCTACATTTACCGGTTTATTATAAAGGATACAACTTAGGAACAGCCATGTGGAATTAATGTATAGAGCAAGGTATAGGTGAGTGAGTGTGTGTGTGTGTGTGTGTGTTTAGTTTCAATACCTTTTTCCAGAAGCTTTCTGAACCTCATTATACAAGAGTTTTTATAGAGCTCCTCCTCCAGCCCCTCTCTCTCTTCCTGAGGTGGGTGGGTGGAGCTGTTGGTTCCAATTTCCTCATCACTTGGTCTTTCTGGTGACCAACCCCATCCTGAGGCTATCTAGGACCCCCACCTCAAGTCACCTTACTAGCATGAACTCAGTTTGTGATTGGAAAGGGGCTCCTTCTGAATAACAAAAGATACCCCTATTACTCAAAAAATCCCAAGGGTTTTAGGAGCTCTGTGCCAGGAACCAAGGATGGAAATCAAATATATTTTATTTTATACCACTGGGTAGATGTACCACACTTGGCTCAACCATTCATTGAAGGACTTTTGAGTCATTTCCAGCTTAGCTAATACAAATAAAGCTTCTATAAATGTTCATGTGCATGATGTTGTGTGGACATATGTTTTCATTTCTCTGGGATAAATGCCCAGGAGTACAATTGTTGGTCATATGGTAAGTATATGTTTATTTTTAAAGTTTAAGGGTAGCCAAGACAAATATATAAGTTCTGTGGGCTCAGAACAAGTAGCCCCTCCCTGAGGAAGTCAGAGAAGGCAGTAGAATTTAGATATTAAAATTGCAAACTATATTCAGTAGACTTGGTTTTGAACCTGAGCTTTTCTCTTTCTGGTGACAGATTGAACAATTTATCTCTTTGTTTCAGTTTACAGTTCTGCAATATGTGGATAGTAACTGCCATGAACTCAAAATGCTATCATGACTATTATATTTAAAAAAAGATCACGTAGAGTGCATAGCACTATGCTTAGGACATAATGGTCAATAAATGTGACATATGTAACAGACTCTGTTGGTGTCCTGCTTATGTCCCCCGGGCACTCACCTTTCTGTCCATGGAAGCCCAATGTCCAACAGCAAGCAGCTTTGACTTTTCCTGAATGTTTCTGAGCACAAGTGGAGCAGGTTGAAAATGCTACAGAATTAATGCTGCTCTGGAACAGTCCTCAACAAACGACTGACAGGAGTTGAAAATATACTCTCATGAGATGAACCGAATATCCTGGTTTGCTTAGGACATGAGCAGTTTCATGGAATATGGGTCTTCCAGTGCTAAAACCTGCATTCCCGGAAAACTGAAATGGCTGGTCACCCTAAGTCCCCAGTGCCCTTGCCTTTTGGGTGGGATAACTCTGAAACTCAAAACTATTGCTCAGAGTTCTTCAGCAGGATTGACCTTCAGATCCCCATAGAGGTAATCTATTTGATAATGTACCTCTTATGGACAATCTTCCCTTCTATCTCTCTCCTTCCACACTCCTAACATTGTTTCCCAGGGCCATCTCCAGGGCCAACCTGAGACAATTATTCCTTGATCTCCCCAGAAGGAGGTGAAAGATGTGGGTTGAGAGAAAGTTGTTGCAGAAATGTGGTGTTGCTGATGCAGCTGCAATGGCAGAGGTGCCATGGGATCTTTGGGCAGGTGGACCAGAATAGTATGAAGGAGGGGTGAGGGTAGAGACCCCACAAAAGTTTGGGAACCAGAAGAGAGTGGCTGGACTTTTATCTACAGTTGGATGAGAGTCATTTGTGATGAGGAGAAGCAACTTGCCTGTCAAATGCTAACAAGTTTGGTATCTCTGATGCAGGAGCTAAGGCTGTGGTTTCAGTGGGGAGCTGAGAGAAGAGGAGAGGAGGTTGTGGCAGATTGGGGAGATGACAAGAGCTTGGGCCAGGTGGTTGCAGCAGGCTGGGGAAAGTAGAGAAAAAGTTCAAAGCAGCATCTTTGTGGAAAAATGGATGTGTGAAGGGATGTACAAAGGTGAGTCTAAGAAGAGTAGAGTGATATTCCTTGTTTGGGGGTGTGGAGGTGTCAGGCAAGAATCACTCAGGCATCTACAAGCAGCCCAGCACCATGGCTGCCCACATCTGCTGCGGTGGTGTGGTTCACTACGATGAGGAAGGCTTTCAGGGGACAGGTCATGGAAAGGCACGAGCAGCTCTGTACTTCCCTGGGAAGTTTGAAGGATGCATGGAGACACAGATCCTATTGTATTTCTTGGTGTGATTGTCTTCCCAGTTCTTCCTCAGCATGGGTCCAGACAGAGGGAAGTCAATGACTGCCATGCTCAGAGCTGCATCATTGGCCTTTAAGGGTCTTCATCGCTCCTTGGTGCCCCTCTCAGCAAGAATGAGCAGCAATAGGGCAGACAGGAGCTGTGCCCTGGCTGAGAAAGTGGCTGTGATCACTGGGTCCACAAAGGGGTAAGCGAATGGGAATCCTTCACTGGCATATCACAAGATGTTAGTGTCCCCATCCCAGAGCAGGGTTGGCAGTCAATGCCTTTCTCATACATCCCTGCCTGACACCCCCACAGCTCCAGCATTTACAACTAACTCCAAATCTCAGCAACTCTCTCTAAAACATCTGGTTTCTGGGTTCCAAGAAGGATGTAGTTAGAAAACCAGGTGCTTCTGAGTCAATCAGAGTAGTGTTGGAATCTAGTCTCTGCCACGTAATTGCTGGGTAACCCAAAGACATTTAACTTGTTATCATCAGGATAGCCCTTTCTCCCTGTCCTTCATAGGCACATCACTGTGGTCTTTTAGGGTCCTGGTCTACCAGGGAGAAGCCCAAGACCTACTTGCCTCTCAGACTAGGGGGTTTCACTGGCTGCAGAATGCCTGCCAGCACTCGAGCAATGGGCAGGGCAACATCTCAAAACCAACTCAGAGACTTTTTATAGATGAACCTCTCCTCTCGTCACATTTCTTCCAGTGTCCCTCCAATTCCACTCATCCTCTAACTGCCATAAGGAGCCATGATCTGTAATGAGTCATTACCGCAGGCATGAGGAAGGGAGGCTTCTGGTGTTGAGTGCTTCGGGGTCACCATCTTCCTTTTGACCTTTCATGGTCTATACCACCACCAATTTGGACCATTCAATTTTAGAACTGCTTAATCATTCCAGGCTTCCCAGACCCCCATGATGTTTTAAATCTTTGTGTGGGCTCCCAGTGCCCAGCCTTCATAACAAATGAATACATCCAAAATGCCAAGCAGTCCAGATAGTTTCCACAAGACAGGAGAAATATGCCTTCTGCCCTTTCATCATCGGGACTCAGCCAGCCCCAATCAGAGCAGCTTCAGATCTCTTAAAGCAAGGAGAGGCAGAGGGGACAGAACATCTTTTTCAGCATGAAAGTTTTTCCTCTGCAGAGCAGAAGAAAGCCATTGGGCTTAGAGAAAGTAATTCCTATCAGAAGTCTCTGGCTAGAACCAAGGGAGAAAATGCTGGGCAGCTGAAGATTCTCTACAGTTGAGGCTGGGTGCCCAGCACATTTACAAATATTCGTTTTAAAAACTCCCTTTAACCATTTCCTTACACCACACACAAAAAATAGACTCAAAACGGATGAAAGACCTAAATGTGAGATAGGAATTCATCAAAATCCTTGAGGAGAACACAGGCAGCAACCTCTTCGACCTCAGCCGCAGCAACTTCTTCCTAGACACATCGCCAAAAGCAAGGGAAACAAAAGCAAAGATGAACTTTTGGGACTTCATCAAGATAAAAAGCTTTTGCACAGCAAAGGAAACAGTCAACAAAATCAAAAGACAACCAATAGAATGGGAGAAGATATTTGCAAATGACATATCAGATAAAGGGCTAGTATCCAAAATCTATAAAGAACTTATCAAACTCAACACCCAAAAACAAATAATCCAATCAAGAAATGGGCAGAAGACATGAACAGACATTCTGCAAAGAAGACATCCAAATGACCAACAGACACATGAAAAAGTGCTCAACATCACTCGGCATCAGGGAAATTCAAATCAATACCTCAATGAGATACCACCTCACACCTGTCAGAATGGCTAAAATTAACACGTCAGGAAACGACAGATGTTGGCAAGGATGCGGAGAAAGGGGAACCCTCCTACACTGTTGGTGGGAATGCAAGCTGGTGTACCCACTCTGGAAAACATTATGGAGGTTCCTCAGAAATTTGAAAATAGAGCTACCCTATGACCCAGCAATTACACTACTGGGAATTTACCCCAAAGATACAAATGTAGTGATCCGAAGGGGTACATGCACCCCAATGTTTATAGCAGCAATGTCCACAATAGCCAAACTATGGAAAGAGCCAAGATGTCCATCAACAGATGAATGGATAAAGAAGATGTGGTATATATATACAATGGAATATTATGCAGCCATCAAAAACCCAAAATCTTGCCATTTGCAACGACGTGGATGGAACTAGAGGGTATTATGCTAAGGGAAATAAGTCAATCAGAGAAAGACAAGTATCATATGATCTTACTAATATGAGGAATTCCTAAACTCAGGAAACAAACTGAGGGTTGCTCGAGTGGTGGGGGGTGGGAGGGATGGGGTGGCTGGGTGATGGACACTGGGGAGGGTATGTGCTATGGTGAGTGCTGTGAATTGTGTAAGACTGATGAATCACAGACCTGTACCTCTGAAACAAATAATACATTATATGTTAAAAAAAAAAAAAAGATAGTAGGAAGGGAAAAATGAAGGGGGGGAAATCAGAGGGGGAGACGAACCATGAGAGACTATGGACTCTGAGAAACAAACTTGAGGGTTTTGGGGGTGGGGGGTGGGGGGATGGGTTAGCCCGGTGATGGGTATTAAGGAGGGCCCATATTGAATGCAGCACTGAGTGTTATATGCAAACAAGGAATCATGGAACATTACATCAAAAACTAATGATGTAATGTATGGTGACTAACATAACATAATAAAATAAAATTTAAAAAATAAAAAAATGAAAAAATGAAAAAATAAAAAATAAAAACTCCCTTTAACAAAATTAATGTGAAAATTTTCTCACCTATAAAATATGATTGTTATACATAGTGAGATTTCAATGGGATAGCCTTGGTGAAGGCCCCATATGTAGTCAGATTCAATAGTTCTTCCTCCCTGCTTGGAAGGATTTGGAGGCAGCTCTTGGGCCATACTGTGGAACTCAATTTGTGTCTTATGATCAGGCTCTTAGGGGGAGGATGGGGAGGGGCTGAAGCCACCACAGCCATCTCTGCCCAGAGGATCGGCTTCACCACCGCCCGCCGCCTGGCCCAGGACGGGGCCCACGTGGTCAGCAGCAGCCGGAAGCAGCAGAACGTGGACCGGGCAATGGCCGCGCTGCAGGGGGAGGGGCTGAGCGTGGCGGACACCGTGTGCCACGTGGGGAAGGCCGAGGGCTGGGAACGGCTTGGGCTACAGTGAGTGGCAGGGGTGGAAGGCAGATGGGGACAGGCAGGAGGCGGTTGAGGTCTCTAGCGTTGGTATCTAGGCCAACAACACATGTGACCCAGGATAGGGTCCTGCTCAAGGGATAAAAAATGGACAACCAGTGTGGCTGAGAAGGGGTGCTCCTGGCAGGAAGGAACTCACATGGTCTAGACTAGAGGCTCCTTATCAAAGGGTGGTCTGATGACCCCCAGTGGGGCGTGTCCTGGGAGCTTGCCGGGGACCCAGAATCTCAGATCTCTCCGGAGCTGCTGAATTAAAATTGCATTTAACCAGACCCCAGGTGAGTGTACCTGTTAGAGTTTGAGCAGCACAGCGCTAGTGCACCCTAGGTGTTGGGTTGGGGAGGCCACTAGAGTCGCAGTCTGGATTAAGACCAGTTCATGCTGGGGTGCCTGGGTGGCTCAGTCGTTAAGCGTCTGCTTTCGGCTCAGGTCCTGATCCCAGGGTCCTGGGATCGAGCCCTGCATCAGGCTCCCTGCTCCACGGGCCGCCTGCTTCTCCCTCTCCCACTCCCCCTGCTTGTGTTCCCTCTCTCGCTGTGTCTCTCTCTGTCAAACAAATAAATAAAATCTTTAAAAAAAAAAAAAAAAGACCAGTTCATGCGACAGTCTTGGAAGGGGTGAGCTGTGAGGCAAATCTGGAGTGTGAAATGGGCAGATGCTTGTGGTGAATGGGTTCTTATATGTGCGACAAAAAAGGAGGAGGGTTTCCAGAGTGGAGGGAGGAGGGAGGAGGAATTGGTTAGAAATCTAAGAGGCGAAAGAAGGGGCAGCGTAGAAGCAGCGACCCCTATGAGTGAAGATCTGGACTGGGGGCCCAGCTACCAACTAGGCATCTTGTGGGGCAGAAATTAGATGCTTCCAGGGAGGTGAGAAACAAATATTTCACTCAACCTCTGATCTCTGAGATCTGACTCTGCCCCAGGATGGCCTCAGGCAGTAAGGGGTTGCTTACTTTACTCTAGGTCATCAGTCTGGCTGGGGAAGGAGAGAGGCTTCTGGGAACCCTTTACTCCATTCCTTCACTCCACATCCTGTCATTTCCTCCACAGGCCCTGGAGCATTGTGGGGGCGTCAACTTCCTGGTGTGCATGGCAGGGGTCAACCCTTTGGTGGGCAGCACTCTGGGGGCCAGTGAGCAGGTGTGGGACAAGGTGAGGACTGGGGTAGGATCTTACACAGCCTGCGTGGTTCTCTGTCCACCATATTTACATGCACACAAACGCACGCATGCACGCGCACACACACACACACACATAGTACCTAAGGTCCCTCATACTCCCGTCACTACTGACTCTGATGGGTGGGGGGATGAGCTCACCTGGGTCGAACCACCCATCAGGAAGCTAACAGGCACTACCATGGCCTGCGTATGCCAGGTGCCAGTAGCCTCCCTTCTGTTGACTTGACTCTCCTTGTGCTGGCCACTGCTACACAGTCCTGAGATGCCAGAAAAGATTTCTGGTCCGTCCACGGTGAAGGATTCTGAGGCCATCCCAGTCTAGACTCACGGGCACCCACTCTGATCCCTTCTGGCCGGCTGTCCCAGGGGTACCTCACCTGTCCTCAGACACAGCTGAGAAGAGGGACCCCATCCAGACTTGCCATCCCCGCTGGAACCCACCAAGCATTCTCAGGGCTCCTGTTGCCCCTGCTGTCCTGAAGGCCCCCTGAGAGGGCTCGGCACAGTCCTGACCCACCCCCTCTCCTGACCCTGTCGGCAGAGATGGGTCCGTGGCCAGGGTGAGCCATTCCCTCCTCATGGAGTCTTCCGCTGACCAGCTCCTGCCATCTGTCCTTGCAGACCCCGCCCCACCTTCTCTGTTCAGTTCTCACGTTCCCTGGCCTTCTGGACCCAATTCCCAGTTCCCCCTTCCCACTTCTCAGTCATACTCAGGCTTTTCCAATTAAAAAAAAAAAATGGTTGTGAACATTTCCTGACAGACTGATGCTCAGTGTGGATTCCCTCTCTCTCTCTCACCCTCACCTCCCTTAAGGCACTCACTAAAAACAAGTCATCTTGATTTCCCCCCTTCTCTTTTCTCCAGCATCCTCTCTGGAGGGCCATGTTGACTGGGGAGAAGTGGTATGGGGACCAGCAGAGGGAGGGTCTCCCAAACCACAGCTTGTTGGTTCCCCTGTGACCTGGGCAGGACAGGAACTTGAGAATCCAACACAGGCCCTTGGATTCCTTCTCCTAAAGGACCCTGTCCCTCGCACACAAAGAGCAGGACCCAAGCTCTGAGGCTACGGGAAGTGCCTTGGGTCCTGCTCTGGCCACAGGTCTCCAAGTGACCAGTGAGAATGGGCACTGGACAGACCTCATCTTTCCTTCTCCTCTGCGTCTGCTCTGATTTCAGATCCTGGATGTGAATGTGAAGTCCCCGGCCCTGCTGCTGAGCCAGCTGCTGCCCCACATGGAGAACAGGGGGTGCAGCAGGGCCCTGGGGTCTTCATGCTTGGGTGTCCTCTACCCTACAGGAGGCATTTGGGCAGGGGCCCAGGAAGTGGAGGGTGGTGGTAGAAGTGGGAGGTGTGTTCTTTGGGAAATGTTCTCCATTCCCACACCTACCCTCTTCCCCACGGGATGTGACAATTATGAAGAAGAGAAACATTTGCTGGGGGAGGGGGGAAGAACCTGCCTTCCAGGTTCTCAAAAAACCTGTCACAGGCCCTTGTTCTTTGGATCTCAGAGAATGCAGGGACCTTGCCCCTGTAGTGGCAGCTCCAGGGAAAAAGGGTCCAGAAGGCAGGACCTGGAGCCCCAGCTCTGGTCCCTTGACTCCAGCCCTCCTCTGTGAGCCATCTCACCGGTTTCCTTTCTGGTTAGAGGCACTGTGGTACTTGCTCCTCCTCAAGTCACTTTGTGTCCTGGGCCACCCAGAAGCAGCTCAGGCTGGGACAGTTTGGCGGCACACCGACCTCACAGGGGTCTATGGCTCAGGAGTATTACTAGGGCTCTGCTCTCCAGAAGTGCTGCCTCTCAGCCTTGGGTCCCCCGCCCAAGGAATCCCTCCCTGGCTGTGGTCACTGGGTAACATTGACTCTGCCATTGACCTTACTGTGTCCACCAGCTTCTCGCCAGTGTTCCAGATAGTCTCTCACCTTATCATGAATCTTGAGCTGGTTTCCTCTTACTGTGAAAGGATAATTTCCTGGCTCGTCTGGGCTCTTAGTTGGACGCACCTGTCATCTCATCTCATCCACCTTTCTCCTTACAGGACAGGCGCCGTGGTTCTGGTCTCATCTATGGTGGCCTGTGTGCCAATACCAGTGAGTGTAAAACCCTCTGGACAGGGCTGGGTGAGGGGCAGCGGAGTCTTGTTTCATGGGAGGTCCTACTGTGGGGTGTGGGAGAACTGGTTATACATGGGAGTTGAGATGAACTTGATTGCTGCAGATTTGGGATTATAATCTCACTTCGCCATAACATCTCTGAAAGCTAAGGATGTTAAGCCATCTGTCCAGGGTACGCACAGTTTATGGTAAAACAAGTTCTGAGTCCTGGGATTTCCTCATTCCAGTTTCCTGGCTGAATTTTGGAAAGCACAGTGTGGCTTTCTCCGTTCCAAGCTTGGACACATATGGCAGTGACTTCCTGGCATTTCTCTAAGCTTGGGCAAGGCCCTCTATCTCAGAACTTCACCCCTTGAAAATGATTGTAGATGGGGAAAGGTGGCAGAAGGGATTTTAGTTTGGGCCAAAATCAAGTGCAGTTTCTTAGTCTGAGACCCAGAATCACAGCTCCGGCTGTTCAGGTGACTTTTCCTCCTGCCAGTTCCAATCCGCTCTGTCTACTTCCTTCTGCTCTTCAGAAGCTGGGAGTCTACAACACCAGCAAAACGGCACTGTTGGGTCTCTGTAAGTCTCTGGCTGTGGAGCTGGCACCAAAAGGCATCCGAGTGAACCGTTTGGTGCCAGGAATAATCAAGACTGACTTTATCCAATTGGTGAGGATCACGGTTTTTGCTCCCCAACCCCTGCCCCACAGTCCCCACTGGTCCCTTCCCTGGCCAAGCTCGTGGGGCCCATAGACACCTGAATACTTGGATTACAACCTCAGTCCAGGCCCATCATTCTGAGGCTCTGCCCCACAGCCTTTGGCCCTAGCGGCCTCTCACTTTCCTGCAGAATGGGGTCTCTATTCTCGGTAGGGAGCAAAGCAAAGTTCTGCCCCACTCCTCTCTCCTGAACAGGGTCATCCTCCCACAGAGGCATCGATCTGCCATGATGCCCTTCCCACCACCCCTGCCCTACCCCTGCCAAAAGGCCTTCTGCCTAACACTGACTCTGAAATCTCTCCTCAGGAGAAAACATTGCCATACTTGCTACCTGACTTCAATGACATCAATGGAGTGCAGTGGTAGGTAGTGTTTGGGGTCTGTGGCTACTCTGAAGCAAAGTCCAAGTTCAAGAAGAGACAGAGCCCTGATTTTCCAGTCTGCTGCCTGTTCCCCCCTTACTGAAGTCTGAGAATAGCACAGCCTGGGGCTAAGGGCTGGAGGGTGGGCATGGTCCTGCTGAGCCCACGATGACCTTCCCCGGAACCTGATTTGACTAGAATTCTGTGAGGTATTGGTCTTTAAGGGTCAAGACTGAGCCCCATGCCCCCCGCCCTGCCACCAGAAGAACCTGAAGTCAGAGCTTAACATTGCAGGGGCTGTGACCTCAATTCTGCTCTCTTTCCTTCAGGTTTGGGGAGCCCGAAGAATGTGCCAGGATGGTGTCCTTCCTGTGCTCTCTAGACGCCAGCTACATCATCGCTGAGAACATTGTGGTAGCTGGCTTCTCTCCTAAGCTGTGAAGCAGACTGTTAAGAGAGTTGGGCCATGGTCTTTGGTGTGCAACTGGAGGCTTGGTGGAGAATATGGAGGTGGGGAGCCTTAGCATCCAGAATCATACAGGAAATGAAAAGGAAGGCGAGCTGTTTGAAATTTCTCATTTGGAAATAAATATGTTTGGAAACTCCCAATCTGGGCTCATCCTTGTTTGGTAGTGATATATGAGCAGTTCTCTTGACCTGGAAGCCTCACCCCTAGATTAGTCCCTTCCCTTATCACCCTTAAGGCTTTACCGCCTCCTCCCTTCCTTCTACCCTTCCCAATGAAATTGGAAATCGGGCAGGATACTTTCTATCTGCCCTTGTTTTGTTTTTTTTTTAAAGATTTTTTATTTATTTATTCATGAGAGACAGAGAGAGAGAGAG